CTGAAGGGAAAAGAGAGAGGGGAAAAGCCATTAAAATTGGAGCTGAGGGCTGGAGAGACTGGAGGCAGGCATGGCAGCTAAAAATGTCACTTACTATGTAACTGGTGAAAGCCTGGGAGTCTGTGTCTACCATTGCGATCAGCTCATTCATGGCCTGGTGGAAAGGAGGGATCAGATTCCTCATGACTGAGTCCAGCTCCTCAAACTGGCGTTTCCCGTATGTCATCAGGCCCACCATGCAGCCCAGGGCTGCCCCCTGGAATAAGACATGATAAAATTTGCTAGCAGGCTCTCCTCTCCACCCTACCACATGAAAGACAGAAGCAAGAACAGACTGCCACTGTCTAAGACGGCTGCCCCCACAACCATAGACAGACAGCCCCAGCACTACCCATTCAGAGTGCAGCCATATTCATAGGGTTTTCCCAAATGCTGAGTAACTTCTCCTGCTGCATCCTGTTGCTCTTAAGAAACAACATCAAGAGTGGGTGATCCTTGGGCAATAAATAGTGGACATGGTATTGTCACTGGTAAAAGAGGTGAAGGTAGAACCAGGTACGAGAATGTCCCTAGAGCTAAGGGATAGTTAAATTGAGCAAGTGCTGCCGGTATCAAGCACCATTCTCAGGAGTGTTCAGTGCTGTGACCAACACTCTCTCTCTTCCAACTCCAAGTCCACCCTCCACTGCCTAGAGGGAGAGGGACTTCATGTCAGCTAAATGCTGCTGAGATGGGGCTTGCACATTGACCTCATCCAGGTGGTTACACTCACTGGAAAGCAAAGAGCGTGACTTAACATCCCACCATGATCACTTTCAGTGTCTGATACTAAGCAGGCTCCACAGATCCATTGTAGGTAGCCTCCCTGGGACAGAATTCCTGCTAAGCCACAGATGCACATACCATAGCAGACATTGCTGCAGACACTGATCCTCCTCCTGGAGCTGCTGACCTCGCACCGACTGCACGCACAAAGCTGTGAAGAGACTTGGACACCAGGTTCCCATCCTCCTTGCCATCCTGCACCATGTACCTGTGTCAGCAGTTCAAGAAATAACCAATGCCGTCAGCTCTAGGCAGCTAACCACAAGCAAATGCAGGCAGGATGAGCTCTCTGAGTGGATCTAAGCCAGGTACAGGGACAGTCCTGGATGTGGGTCTCTGTCCCAGTTACCATTGGATAATTTCTTCACTGGAGGGTGCAGTTGGGCTTGGAGTGGCGCACTGCAGATTGAAGTATCATGATTCATGGCCCAGCACAGGACGTATCTCAGCGGGGCCTCAAGGTCAGTATTACTGGAGAGGAACTCTGCTCATGATCAGGAGATCTTATCTATCCTCAACCTTTCATGAATGAGAACTGGTGAGTCCAGAGGCTTCAGTTAAGAGAAACACTTCATATGAGAGGGGTCCTTTTCCCTGCTGAAATACACAGATTTTCCCATAAAGTCAATGAGGTGGCCTTCAGGGTCTTAAACAAAACCCCAGGGTGCCGATGATAAACCAGTGCTCCTTTTACCTTTTGTCTCCACCCTCTGTCTAATTCTATTCATTGATGTTGATCTTTGGAGATTTTTATTATTATTACTATCGTTATTGTTTGAGTTTCTTGGGTGCTACAATGATTTGGACTCCATTGTATTGGGCACCACGTGGAAATAAACAACACAAAAGACAGGCCCAGCCTTCAAAAGGTCATGAAACAGAATTTAGACAATGCACAGCAGGTGAACAAAGAGACCCAGGGTGCAGAGGACATGAGAACCATTAGACAGGTGTGCTCCTCTGTCACTATGCAGATCAGAATAGCCGAGGGCAAGCATGAGACTGCTAAGGACAGGTATTCTGGGCTGAGAGCATGAGAGGAGAGGAGAACAGACCTTTAGGAAATGCTGCAAAACTTTATTCTTTGAAAAAACCTTTCCACTCGAAATATGGACCCACCCTTCTATCAACCAAAACAAGGAAATACATAACATTTAAAAAGCTATAATCTAAAATGTTAAAATAAAAAGATATTAGCCCCAACACAAGCAAAGATATGATCTGGAAAATGGGAAACTCCTTGCAACACTATTACTAATGACTTTACATGGAACATGCTAGCTATTGTGATGATGGGAAGCAGTGAACAACCCAAGGAAGGATGGAGAAAGAAGAATACATTAGAGTCCTAGTAGTATTGGACAGTCTATCTAACCCCTTTGGAATACCCCTTACCTCTCTGGATAGGGAATTCCAATGTTCAGTGTTGAGAAACTGTTTTACTGAAGACTTTAACGGGAATATATCTTTCCTTTCTTGTTACGTAAAAGAACACAAATCCCTCCGCATGGGCAGAGTGGGTATTGGGCTTCCACAACAGGACAGCGGCCCAGGCCAACATGCACTGCCATTGTCTAGTCCATCCTCGATTCCATCATCACAATAACTAGCACGGTCCATGCAATGTCATTAGTAATAGCGTCAAAAGAAGTCTCCCTTTTTCTGGTTCATAACTCTGTTTGTATTGTAGTGCTAAGAAGCTAACCTATGGGTGACTAGGACTAATATAGCACCAAAAGGAGTACAAATGAACTTCTAATGTCAGTCCAGGAAGGTGATACTGCCTTTCTGTTTGACAAAGCAACAACTGCTTGAGTGGAGCTAACAAGGGATGTAACAAAGAACACAGAAAAAGCGTCCATACTCAATAATGCGCTCTCTGGCGTTAAATGGAGACAAGGAGTCCAGGCCCAGCCTGCTGACCACCTGGAAGAGGAAAAGACAGATTTACTGGAGCAGAAAGCTGCATGTAAACCTTCTTCTTTCTGTGGAGAATATTCAAAGAATAATCAGGTAGCCAGGAAACTTGAGTTAGTAATTTATTGTAACATCCATCCAGTCCAGCCTACCCTGAGTCTTGGACAAAGAACACATTCTTCTAAGACAAAACAAAACAAAACAAAACAAAACAAAACAAAAAATCAATACTGAATTAAAAAAAGGAACATTATCAAGCCAGCAACCTAAAACTGGATCCAGGTCTGACACTGTTCCACCTTCCTCCCACAGTGTCCAACACATACATAATAAAATAATAATAATTAACTAGCTCTTATCTAGTACTTTTCCCTCCTGGCACTCAAGGGGCCTTACCAAAGGCGTAAGTACCCTTGTCCCTGTTTAAAATCTGATATGAAAGCTAAAAGGAAACTGGCCCTCTCCAGTTCTACAGCAGTGGTCTGGCATATAAAACAGCTCTATGTACTTTGAACTAGGAGAGCTGATCATCTTTATACTGTTTTTTTTAGAGAGCACCATTCTTTGTGACATGTACTGCAAGGAAAATTAATGGTTAGCTGGATCTCAGAGACAGTGCCTACTTGTGTAAGGTTCTGGGAAGCTCTGGTGCCATTTTAATCAATCCATTACAGGAGTATAGGAATGAAAGAAACTGAAGGATCCTGGATTATGTCTAGTCCCTGCTTTTTCATTCTATAAACCTTGTCACAAACTGATCAAAAACTATCTAAAAAACTGATGAGGTTTATTGCCCCTGTTGCCCTACTGGAAACCCCTTCCAGAGCCTCCCTGTTCCTGTGATTAGAAACCTTCTGCTTGCTGTTCTAAATTCATTTGTGGCCAGTATAAACCAATTTGTTCACTGCCATCACTGTCCTTTTGCTTTAAGAGCACTTTTGCCTCTCTGGTGTTTACCCTAGATGTGCATATCTATCCCTTTCAACCTTCATGTTACTAAACTAAAAACAAGCGTTTGTAGTCTCCTCTCATAGGATGTGTCCAAGCTCCTCTACTATTAATCTACTATTAATTAATCATTCCTAATCGGCAAAACTCAGCCCTTCTCAAGAAGGTCATCAGGTATTTCACCTGCCTGGCAGATTTTATGTGGCTGCTATGACATGGCCAAGTCTTTCAGGTTCCTCGCTGTAAAGATATGAGAGAGCTGCAGTTTTGCCCCTCAGCACTTGGTCAGGCCCTTCCAGCATACAGTGTAGCCCTCAGAGGTGTTGATCTGTTCAGTTGAATGCAACTGAGAAGGACCTAGAACCCCTGAACTTTCAACTTCTCAGACTACTTAAGACTTAGGAGAATGCACAATTGCTGCTCCAGTTTTGGCACCAAGAGTGGAATGATTGACAGCTGAATGTTAGTAACAGGAACAAAGATGACTGGTGATGAGTGGTTGCATCTACATGTGCACATTTATTGTACAGTAACCGAAATTACTACACAGTATGGGTGCACATCTACACATGCATGCCTGAACTGTGCAGTAAATATGGCAACTTATGCCAATTTGAGCATAAATTTGATACCTGCATCATACAGGTATCCAAAGTCATATATTCATACATTGTAAGGCTGGAAGGGACCTTGGAAGATCACTGGGTCTACGCCCCTGCATCAAGCAGGAAAGATAACTGGGGGTCAGGTGACCCCAGCAAGGTGACTGTCTAGTCTCCTCTTGAAGATTTCCAAGGTAGGCGATTGCACCACCTCTGGAGGGAGCTTATTCCACAGTCTGGACACCCTGACTGTGAAGCTTTTCCTAATGTTGAGCATGAATTGGTCTTCCAGGAGTTTGTGGCCATTACTCCTGGTTTTCCCCTCGGGTGCCCTGGTGAACAGTTGCTCACTGAGCCCTTGATGTGCTCCCCAAGTGCAGCAGTTACCAGGCTGTTACCAGGTCCTCTCTCAGCCTTCTTTTCCTCAGGCTGAAGAGTCCCAGATCCCTCAGCCTTCCCTGGTACGGCTTGCCTTTTAAGACTCTGATCATATGGGTGGCTCTTCTTTGGACTCATCCTTGTTAAAGTGTGGTGCCCAGAACTGGATGCATTACTCCAGCTGCAGTCTGCTGAGTAGAGCAGAATCAATCACCTCTTTTGGTTTTGCTGGAGATGCATTGATTGATGCAGGTAGAACTGGATGCATTACTCCAGCTGCAGTCTGCTGAGTAGAGCAGAATCAATCACCTCTTTTGGTTTTGCTGGAGATGCATTGATTGATGCAGGTCAGAGTATTATCTGCCCTACTGGCTACAGCATCGCACTGCCAGCTCATATTCATACTGTGGTCTATTATTACCCCTAGGTCCTTTTCATTTGTGGTGCTAGTCAGCTTGGTGCCACCATGCCTGTTGGGGGTTGCTCGTCCCGAGGTGGAGCACTTTACATTTCTGCACATTGAACTTCATCAGGTTCCGATCCACCCAACTTGCCAGCCGGTCTAGGTCCTCCTGTAACTGTAGCCTATCTTCAAGCGTGACGACACTTCCCCATAACTTAGTATCGTCTGTGAACTTAGCCAGTGAGCTCTTCACCCCAACATCCAAATCGTTAATAAAGATGTTGAAAAGTCCTGGACCGAGCACCAACACCTGTGGGACACTGCTGCCCACTTCTCACCAGGATGACACAGATCCGTTCACTACGACTCTCTGGGTCCTATCTTGCAGCCAGTTTCTCACCCACCTGACTGTCTCAGAGTTAAGCCCACAATCCTCCAATTTTCCCATAAGGACATCGCGGGATACTAGACTAAAGGCCTTTTGGACATCTAGGTATACAATGTCAACCTGCTGTCTCGTGTCAAGCTGGAGAGTTACCTGGTCATAGAAGGAAATAAGGTTGGTAAGGCAAGAACTGCCCACGATGAAGCCATGTTGGCTGTCATTCAGACTCTTACCTTCCACAAGCTTATCGCAGATAGACTCCTTGATGAACTTTTCTAGGGATTTTCCCTAGGATGGAAGTTAGTCTGACTGGCCTATAGTTACCCAGGTCCTCCCTCTTGCCCCTCTTGTGGATGGGCACAATGTTGGCCCTCTTCCAGTCCTCAGGGACTTCTCCAGAGTGCCACAAGTTGTGGAACAGTTTTTACAGAGGTTCTGCAATGACTTCAGCCAGCTCCTTCAGCACTCTCGGATGAAGATCATCCAGTCCTGCTGACTTACATACATCTAATTTTATTAATTGGTCATACACCAAAATCTATGGCAATAGTAGGAAGGTGATTATTCCTACTGTGCTCATCCTCTACTCTACCTGGCATGGTTTTCCCCTTAGCCCGGGGAAAGACCAAGGCAAAGTAGTCATTCAGGAGTTCAGCTCTCTCTTGGGTACTGGTAACCAGCTCTCCTGAGTTGCTGAGCAACGGCCCCACACTCCCATTTGTTTTCCTCCTGTTCCCTACGTACCAAAAGAAGGACTTCTTGTCCCAGTTAGTTACTGCACAATAATGCATGTGTAGATGCCTTACTGTGCAGTAACACAGTGTGTGTGGACTGACTTGGGACTAACTTTAGTCCCAAAACAGACCACACACAGCGTTAACACACTTAGACACCTGCACATGTAGATGCCAGTCTATTCCCACTTACTGCATAGTACTTTACCATGCAGTAAATTTAAGCCGGCGTAAATGAACACTGTTGAGTGTGAATATTGCGTGATTGACAGGTCCTGCTGGCAGGAGAGAATGACTGGACAAGAATCGTTACCACCCTGGCATGAATGGAGAACATCAATGAGCTGATGACATAGGGCTCTCCAAGGTTGCAAAGAAACAATGCAGGGGTATGCGTGTGCGTGCATGCACTCATGAGTGCCTGCCTCACAGTGTGTTTTTGGAATCTGTGTGGTATTGGTGTGTGTCTTGGAAAAGGATCTGTGTGGTGTGCTATCTGTCTCTGTCTATCTGTGTGCATCAGCTAGAGTCTGTCTACCCCTGTGGTTGGATCTGTGAGTGAGACAAAAGAGAGTCTCTGTGTACCCTGTTTGTATCCAGTTATCTGTTACTTGTGACAGGCTGGGTGAGTAAGAGAGACTTGGGTGAGTAAGAGAGACTATCAATAAACCCTGTCAATAAACCCTGTTTGATTTAACCACTATTAACCTGTCTCTTCTCTCTATACTTGAACTGCCTGTGGAAGCCAGATTCTTTGGCAACAATGGTGTCAGTTTTAACCCTTTCTGCCCCTTTCCTTGTTCCTAATTAAGGCACTAATTAATACTAATTAGACTTCCTCCAACACCAGGAAGTTGGTAACACTATGACTTGCAGGTCCATCTTGTGAAAGGTTTCTGAACTAGACCATCAGGGAAAGCCAATCTTACCAGTCGGATTTTTTGCTCCTCCTCCACAATGAAGAGGTTCTCCTTTTTAATGTAGAACTCTGCCGCAGCGAGCATGGCCTTCTTAGGGATGAGACCCACAAGCTGGGAGCCCACCACTGGCAGGTTCAGCTCCTGCAGAAGCAGACAAGGGTTTTAACACCTTTTAACAGCAGAGTCCCAAACCCACTCATCTCTCCCACTGCCCTCCACACCTCATGCACACCAAAGGGTCAACCACAGATGGTGTGTGCTGAGGAATCCAGCACGCCCCTTTCCATTGTAAGCGCTGCACCCAGCAGGCAAAGGGATGTATGGAAGGGATATGGAGGCCAACAAAATGATCCCTGTTGCCACCCTGGTTTGGTAAGCATGGAATCATTAGTGACCCCAGAGCACCTTCTCCATTTAATATAACCAGGATGAGCAAAGTCTGTATCTTATCACCAGAGATCTGGATTTTCTGTTTACCATGGAAAAACACGGATTTTCTTTAAAGGAGAAAAACCCAGAAAATGGTGGGTTTCCCCTTGTAGGCTGGCAGAGTTCCAGCCTGCAAGGGGCTGCTTGTGGCTGGAGGGAGCAGGATGCAGGGGGCAAGGGGTGCCATGTACCAGTTCACACATATACATGCACGTGGCAGCCAGGCAGTGTGGTGGAGAACAGCTCCCACAGCTCTCTCCAGGTAAGTCTATGGAAGCAGGCTGGATGGAGGGGGTACAAGTGACACAGGGCAGGGCGAAGGGGTGCAAAGGCAATGTGTAGGAGAGGTAGGAGGGGAGGAAACATGCCCCCCCAAAATTTCTGCGTACATAGTGGGGGGACAGCCGCAGCTGGACCTGCATCCTGGTGAGTGAAGGGGGCAGGGGGAGCTCTGATTTTCTAAGATAAAAAAAACCAAAATCAAATGCCAAAATATATAGGTAATTAAAATTTATTTTATTATTATAATGATTGAGGCACTGGTAGGCTTCCAAATTGCTTTAAAATTGCAAATATATCAGTAAAGCAAAACATGTTCAACTGATACCTATCTATATCTAGATCTATGTTTATATACTAGATCTAGATATATAGTGGCATTTCATTTTAAACATGGAAAAATGTGGATTTGGGGGTTTTTAATAAGAGAATTTGAGATTTTTTTTATCAGAGAATTCGGATTTTTAAACAGAAAAAACATAGGATCCCTGGTGAGAACTTAGCCCCATCCCCTTTCCCGAATACAGTACAGCTGCTGAACAAGGAAGGACCTTCCTCATTCAGGAGCACAGCCACAGCCTTGAAGCCTTCTGCTCAACGCTTCACCTGAAATATGTGGTCTCCAGCCTCTCCTGCACCACTCACTCACAGGTACCGTCTCTCCCAGGGAACCTAGTAACCTTCTCTCTATGTAAGCAGAGTGGGAGCTGGTGCTGAAATACTCTGATCATGGTGGTGTTTCATGCATGGACACAAACTGTGGACTTGCCCAGAGCCCCTCAGCAGAGTGGGGCAGTCCTAACCAATTCAACCCCCACCCTGAGGAGCCTACCAGAATCCCTTTCCTGCAGTGCTTTTCTGCCAGGAGGGTTCCTCGGAGGTGGGGAGGGCAGGAGCTGGTTTCCATTTGAGAACAAGGGAATATTCATTCTGCCTTCAGCACTCCTAAATCATGCACTGGGCTTCGAGAGACTGCCCTTGGGGAACTGGGTGTAGGTCTTGTGGGTCACCACTCTGTGAGAGCATGGCACCAGTGCAAGCTAGGCCACCACTGCCCAGAGCTGGTGAGTGAAGCACCTCATGTCATCTCATGGAAGTGAAACTCATGCTGGCAAACTTGGCCATGCCCTTTCTATGCCACATAGTTGCCAGCCCTTAGGGGAGATATGTAACCCCTTAGGTGCCTCAGAGTGCCACAGATCTCACAAGGCATGTGTCCCTATGTCCTTACAAGCACAGACGGTAACAGATAGCTCACAGTGTATTCCTATACTTTTACCACCCCACACACACTACTACACAATAAGGCTTTATGGCAGATGCATGAAGACTTTAACCTGCTCCATGTGAATCAGACATTTTGACAGACAACATATTTCTTTGTAGGAAGATGGCTGCTCTGGTTAAAACTTCTGGAAGTTTGCTTCACACCTGTGCAGCTTACCTGGGCATCTTTGCAGACTTCCTCATAGACAGTGTGGAGGGCCGTGGTCTCAAAATCAAGCAGGTTTGTTGAGACCTGGGCAATATTCTCCTCATCCAAATACCAGCCCAAGCCTTGGACCTTCTTCAAGCGCCCAGGCTGCAAAGAACAACCATGCTTCAAACTCCATGACTAATGTAGCGTAGATGAGCTTTTGGATTAAGCTTTCCTCTCCAGAACACCCAGTCCAGTATGAGATGCAACAAGTGCAGCTTTCTGCAGATGGCTTAGGATGCTCTTCACTGTTTCTAAAATAAGGGGTTGCTCATGAAGGAAAAGTAACAAGGACAGAATTGTTCACCTTTAAAAAAGATAAAGTAATGCATTTATCCCTAGAGATACAATGCTATGGGACTGTTCCCTCACCCCATCTCCTTCTGCTTGATAGGTATGCTTGAGGCCTTTCAAACCTATGGAGTTCTCTGCCTGGAGGATCTTACAGCCCAAAGACAGTAGAGCTGGATGGAGGGTCACCCCAGCTCAACTCAGACTTGCCCAAGTGCCGCTCGAGTCAGTGGTCCCATCACATGTAGGATAAACTATTCCAATATGAACAATTATGGAAAGAGGAGTATGGGCTCAGGGGGTGGGAGAGGAGGTGGAATTATTATTACTCTGTCCTTCAAGGGACTGTCCTAGTCTTAACCTGCTCTGAAGAGTGGGATGGAAGTACCTGGTGCTGTGCACGGCCTTGCTCCCGGATGTTGAGAGCAATACGATGGGCCAGCTCCTTCGTACATAGCAGGTTGATGTTGTATGCAATGAGGAACTTACGGGCCCCCGTTACTGTGGCCCCCCATTTTGGCACAAAGGTCAGAGAGCCAAAATCAGGAGCCCACTCAGCCTTCTTCAGCTTGGAATCAAAGAAAAGAAAGAAAATGTGATTCACTGGAACCAAACTCCTCACTGTTTTACAGTCAGCCGGTTCTGTTTGTGGTGTCTCCTCACACCAAAGAACTGATGCCAGCTCACAGTCTCTCCCCAGTGCCTCCTGAGCACTGCAGGAACCACACAGTATGCCTGCTCTGCATCTGCTAAACTTCAATAGGGCTGTAACGTAGTTGCCTTAGAGTAGCTCTGTGGATCCATCAGTAAGCTTTCTGATTCAGGCACACCTATTGGTGCACATGCAGTGCAACACCAGGCGAGTATATTCTTCTAAAATAAAATAACTCTTGAAAGATGGTTACATTCATTAAAGGTGCCTTACTGGAAGTTCACATTATTTTGAAAAATAAAGATCTCGGCAACACTGAAACATGTAATGAATTCTTCTTGATTTTACCAAATTATGCAGGCAAAAGAAAAAAAACCCCAGAAAATGTAAAACATCTTGATTTTTTTATTGAGAGACATTTTTGTTGCAAAATTTGCTTCTATTTTTTTTAAATGATAACCTTTAAAAAGTTTGAATCCCAAAGGAAGCTTAGCATTTGGACTAATAATAATAATAAAAAAAAATCAGCATGATCAATGAACCAAAATGCCAGTTACAGGGCAGGGCCGTAATCCCAATTCAGACAGCAATGCCCAAGAGCACATGTTGGCTGTGTGCTGGCTGTACTGCATGTCACTACCATAGACAGGCTTTAGCTCTGTTCAGAATTGTTACCAGCCATCCTCCAAAAGCAGTCATATTGTAACAGGGAGGATTATGCTTCCCCTTAATGCTAATTCCAGGCACTGCAATTAGGTAAACAAACCTCTGGGAAAAAGTAGTTAATAATCAACTTTTAGATAAAGCAGGTCAAAGGATTTCACTCTTCCTAGCACTTTAGACTTCTAAGGCCCACTACAAGCAATATATGATTTTTAATGTAGTTGGGGCTCATCACATGTTTCTGAGAACTTGCGTTATTCTTTCAAAAATAAAACACTTCCGATTTATCCAGTGTTGTTTATAAATAATATTTTTTAAATTTAAATTTGATGTTAAAATAACTAAGAAGATGTCTATCTAAGGATCTAGGAACTAGATGCGTTTAGATGCCTAAAATGCACGTAGGAATCCAATGGGATTTTCTAAAGTGCATGGGAGATCAGTTCAGTGGCATCTCAGTCAGTCATCAAAAGAAACTCTTTTCTACCACTTCATCCCCTAGGGTACAAATCAACAACCTTTCTCAAGTCCCCATCAAATTCTGTTTTATTGCTGCATGCCCCTAGTCATCAAAACTGAGCTACCACAGGCCAAAGCAGAGACCATGTTCCAGAGTCCCAGAGCCATCATATAGATCACCCTGAGACTGCCCCATGTCTTTGATGATGAGAGGGACCCATGAGCAGAGGCTTCTGAGCTTGCAGCTGCAGCAGTGTGAGGTTAGTTTCCTAAGCATGACGGGCTTTTCCCTACAGCTCCCTCAACCAGAAGTAGAAAAAGAAAGTTAGTTAACGATGATAATCATTCATGGTAAGTTCTGACCAGAACTGCTTTGCAGTGGCACAGTCCCTTCCCCAAGGGAATCTGCAAGGATTAACGGAAAAGTCTCTCTTATTCACAGCCACCTAAAGTTGTTTGTCCATTTTCAGAGCAAAGAGGAAAAACACTCATACGCAGGTGTCAAAGTCTCCAGTTAATGTTTTACCAAGGGTGGAGGAAGAAGATGCCTCCCACTCTTGCCAAGCATTCTGTCCAGGATGATAAACTCAGCTCAGCCAACTGCCCTGTCCCTCCCATTATGTTCTTAGCTAGATAAACCCCATCTGCAGGCACGGACCGACCCAGCGCACTCAAGACCAGCTCAAATCTGGCTGGAGACCAGCTCAACCCTTAATCAGCCTCTGAGACAATAAAGCAAGCAGAAAGGACTTTTCACTCCAATGAGAGAAGGGTCAGGACCTCCCAGCACAACACAAGCAGCACAACTGCCATTCCCAAATACTACAAAGAATTTCACCTTTTCAGGGAGCGCTTCATATTCCCCAGCTCGGACTGCAGGCAGAGACTTCCTGCTCTCCTTCCGTGCTGCTTCTCCATACAGGTACACTGTAAGAAGAGATGCATGAGAGACAGATAAGTGGCATGCTTGCTATTAACTTTTTTTTTATTTTTTGCAAAAATCTAGTTGGTCTAATAAAAGATATCACCTCTACCATGAGTCCTGATTGCTTTTTTCTCTAGACCAATACAGCTACAACCTGGATACATGGAGCCCTTCAACACTCATTGGCTCCACGTTGAATGAAGACACAAGTTATTCCTCATTCATGGAATGAAAAATGGCTGAGTGGCTGCCCTCAAGTTCAAATACAGGCTGGCTATAGTATTATGCACTGATGTGACAGGCTCCAGTTTTCGCTCCAGGGGAAACCTCATATAGCCTAAAAAAGAACTTTGGGGTTTCAAAAAAAAAAAAAAAAAAGGAAGCTTTAGGTTACTAAGTGAGCAACAACGTCTCTATAGGCCTGGATATCCCAAAAAACACATACACAGTCTATATCTACACAGGTGCATGTAGATCTACCTATATATACATCAACTAGAGCAGCATTGATATTGATGTAAATCAGCTGTTCCTTCATTTACTCGCCAAGGCATGAGCTTCCCTTACCACATGCAATGTTGTCCATAAAACCCGAGATAAACCAAGAGTGCTGCCTGTTTTATGACTAGTTATTCCCTTGATTCCTTGGTAAGTAGGACTTTTAAGTTTCAGAAATGACAACTAAGAATTGAGTTCTCGGTGTCTGGATTCCCAGCTGGCGACCCCTTAAAGCAACCTGATCTTCACAACATGCCAGGCATCCAGCCTCTGGAAGTCACATTGCCTTCCCTCATCTTTCCAACCGTCTGTGAGATGGGCTCCCAAAACCTCTAGTGACATTTGTTAATGATTTGCCCCTCATTTTCCTCACACAGAGGATTTAATAGCTCATACATTTCCTTCTGGGGAATACTGTAATGAGACATTTTCTCCCAAATCATCCCTTAAAAAATATATTTTTTTATAACGTTAGCACAGACCAATGTGTGACATCTATCTGGATGAGGAATTAAGGAAGGGACCCACATAAGAGGTCATAAAAGAGGTTTCCACATACAGAACTCTCTCGCTTCCCCACCACCAACTTACCAGGTACCCCAAGCTCTGCAGACAGTTGCTTCCCAAACAGATTGGCACAGTGAATACATTCTTCCATGGTGACATTCATCACTGGCACAAAAGGGCAGACATCCAGGGCACCCATCCGAGGATGTTCACCTAGGAGAGGGGAACAGCATTTCAGGGAAGTGGCCAGAGGCCTGAGTGGGTTGGAGGCAGGACAGAGGAGGGGGAGCAGAAAGAATAGGTCATTTAACTAAGGTGGATGCTATGGTATCTTCATTTATCCATCTGGCACCATTTCAGGACTAAGCTACTCCCCTCTTGCTTCCAGGTCACTAACATAAGAGAAATAACTGATTAAACCATCTGAATTGGCTAAACTGGCACCAGTATTTATTCCAGCCTGAAAGCAAGCAACTACAAGTGCAAGGAGAAGCAGAACCCTTCACATTACAGTCAGCACCAGTTGTCTGCCTTCACTTCTTCACTACAAGAGACATGAGCTCACGCAATGCTTGGACAAGAGCTCCTTTCTAGCTGTGCTTTTAAAATCTAGCTCTACCTGAAGAGGAAGCTGCAGAAGTCAGACTGTTAAACTAGTCTGAGATGTCAGCAGGGCATGGTGGGGTTGGGATGTAAAATGGCTCTATGGTCAGTAGTCCCAGGAGACACTGCCAGCCACATGGTCCCTCTCTAAGAGTGCATGCATTTATGACTGCTACACCCTGGACCAGAAGAATGTAGACATAACTGCAGATAGCTGTGAAGGTACCAGCAGCCTGAAGAGGTTGTTGGATGCTTGTCTGTGCCTGTGAGCTCATAAGATGTTCTTCCTACATGGATGTGCCATGGTTACTGCACATATCAGGACTCAAGGCTGTACAGATATTGGCTGCCTGGGCTCTGCTGATACATATGGACTCTGCCAAAATTGCAAAATAGCTTTGACACATGCAGCAGGATGCTGAGTGACTAGGCTTGCAATTGCCTCCCACCCCAACCCAGAACGATCACCTTTGTGTCTGCTCATGTCAATGAGCTGAAAAGCCACTCTGGCTGCCCGCAGAGCACCCTTGACGACATCTTCTGGAGTCCCCACAAATGTATAGACTGTTCGGTTGGTAGAGGGGCCAGCATCCACATCCAGCAGGACACAGCCCTGTGTCTGAGAGATGGCCCCACTAATGGCATCTATCACCTGCAGGAGACCACAATCTAATGAGGGAATTCATAGCAGTACCCATAGCACTAGAGCATAGCAAACCCTGCCTGTCAGGCTATCAGAGACATGGTGAGGGCCTTAGCAGTTCTCTTCAATGGGAAGACCCCTTTGCTAAGGAAAAGAGACAAAGCAGGATTGACATGTGTTAATGCTTCAATGCAAAAGGTAACAGGAAAAATCTCAGCCAAGAGGTAACCACTAATCTTCAAATAACTGACAGCCAGGGCTGAAAAGTGTCGTCTTCATTACAATTTGCAACTGTACCCAAGCAGGCCCTTCTTGCAAGTGCCTCATTTTGTAGTTTAGTATACCTCTAGTACTATGTATTGTACCATATGACAGTCTTCCAAAGATATTTATATGGCCAGTATGCAATATGTTGTGCTTAGCAAAATGACTGCAGATGATGTATAGCAATACAGAATAATGGACAAATGCCAGCATATTTGATGGAAAGGTTTAGAATTAAGCTGTATCCTGAATATGACATGGTTAATGGTGTTTCATTAACATATCTGTCAATAAACTCTTTGCAAAGGGTAACAACCATATACCAGTATTTTTATGTAAGTTTATGAAACAATTCAGTTATTTATTTCTCCTTGATTACTTAGAAACACACCGATAACTTTTGCTAGAGGAAAGGATTGCTTAGAGTTGGACCAACTGCATAATTGGGATAGTTAGACAAGCTTTCAAATGCAAGAATTCAACATCCAAGGAAGAATTTCTTGCATGGGAAAACTTGTCTAACTCCATCCCAACTATAAAGTTAATCCAATAAAAGATTACCCTAAGGAAGCCTTGCCCCTCACGTAATTCCTGGAACAGCTACAACATTGCTCTACCACTGCCAGTGATAACTTCCCCATTGTGCAGGAACAAGTTCTACAGACAAAAAATCATCCTCATTAATGATTCTGGATGACTCTTCTCAGAAACCCCTGTACTAACCCAGACAAAAAAAGTCCCTCCCCTGAAGCCCTCAGAGTCTAAGTAAACACAAATGAGAGCAGATAGAAAAAATACTACAGTACCACCTAGTATGTAGTGTGCTTCTTGGTTGCAGCCCAGGCCTGCAGAGGGAGGCTACTTGGCTTCTGGTTTGAATTTAAGAAGATGCTTCTATGCTGTAAAGCACACATCACCTGGGACTTGCCTATAGGAGAGAGACTTTTCCCTGTACCATACTGCCACAGTTGCAGTCAGCAGGGGCAACCATGCCCCCCAAACTTACTGGGCCAAAGTGTTCCCCATCCCACTCGGGTCTAGTTCTTGCCCCTCTACATTCAGCTCAAAGCACTTCCTCCTTCCTTCCACCTAGGGCCACTGGCCCTCATTGACAGCACAGGAGAGACAGAAGACTTGCTGTCAGTCCCAGCAGGGTCCACTCCCACAATATAACTGCCCACTGTGCCCAGAGCTGCAAGAGCAGGGAAAGTCCTAATCAGCCTCAGGCTGGAGCATGCTAGTTCACATAGCATCTTCAGGGAATTTAGCTACAAGGTTCTAGCAAGACTCTACTAAGCACACTCAAGCTGCATTTTTCCTTAAGCTTGTAATTTGTCCAAGTTGAAGCAAATGTTTATGGGGATAGCAACAGACACAGCCCTGCTACAATGACTACAATCTGGCCAAATTCAAAGTCCTTGCTTCAGAGCATGCAGGTGCCACATGATCCCAAAGAAAGATCACCATAGTGGACTATGTGAGATCCAAGCCATCGCCACTGTCCTTTGGAGTAAAAAGGAACTGGAGGAGGAGACTTGAAAATGCTTTCCTGAAGCATCCTCCACCCCTGTGGAATTAGGCAAGTTTTGCCATTTAAGTCAATGGGAGCAGAATCAAACTCACAAGTAATGGATGAGTCATTTGTGAAAGGCAATCCCACCAGGTCATACAAAATACAGGTCAGTCCATAAGTACTCCACAGGTTAACCCTAGCCCACATGTCCACCTGTTGCATAGAGACAGCCAGTGCAAAGCAGCGACAGGGCTGCTGGACAAAAAGCCAAAGACCCCTGCCCACGGTTTATCAACACTCAGTGAGTAGCTTCAGAGACAGAGAATTCATGGCCCTTACCTCTTTGTTATTCCCCTCGGAAAAGTTGGGAACACACTCCACCAGTTTGGACATTGTGCTGGGGATCCCAGGCTGCACCGGGTCTGTTTAGTTTAGGGAACACACGGTGGTTTGAGCTGCTTTTTCTGCCTGGAGAAAGGTGACCAGAAGGGCAGGAGCCTTTATAGTGTCAGACCAGTGGTCTTTCCCAATCTCCAGGGTTTCTCATTAACTGCTCTAGCCAGCAGACAGTGGAAGGAAAGGTTTTTGATTAAACAAATCAGAGAGAACTCTGACAGGATGGCACCGCTGGCCCTTCTGCTCCGTTTCTAATCTACCGCTCCTAACTGCTCTGTCAGATATTCTGGAGTCAAACAGGCGTGACACCACTGACATTGTTCCCTGCCACCTACTGCAGCTGCTAAATCTTACTTTGTAACAACATGGTCTCTCTTCTTTCTGGTCCCTCACTGTTCAGGTCTTATCAATAGCAGCCAATAATTATCAGCCAAAGCAGCAGTTGTTCCAAAATGTAGATTAAGTACAGCTTTATATTCTTGTCACGATAAAGATAAACACACCCCAGTTCCCAGGCTGTCATCTCCCATTTCTCATGGATCAGTCAGCCTGGGCAGATTGTTATTTCAGGGGGTCACTGTTTTACCGTGCTTGACACAGGCAGACAAAGGACCTAAAACCCATGTGCTCAAGCCAACTCTTGTCCTAATCAATAAATTAGGAGTGCATCAGTTTGCACTTGGACTTGTTGCTGGGAAAGAGCGCAGCCTAGTATTAAAACACAGCCTGAGAGGAACAGATAGTGTTGGATGGATTTGTGTTGACCATCTCCTGCAAATAGGTGGGGGGTTGTTGGGACATACAAGCGATATTCTGCTAATGTTAGGTAGAGCCGCTGTTGGAGCAATCCTGTCCTGACACAGTTGGCTGCATCCCTGAGGAAATGTTGCATTTCCTCTGGCCTGGCTAGGAGGTGGAGGCAGCAACAATGATCTGATGCTGCTGCTAAGAATAACCAAAACTAGATGCCTCCACATAAAAAAATTAATGAGATAGTAGACATGTGCGCCCCATTTCTGACTCCACTCTGCTGCCACCTGCATGCGAGCTCTTGCCTTCCTAAGATGAACTTGTGCATTGGATTCTCTGATGCTCTTTTTGTCTAACCTGAACTACCGACATGGAGTCTAGGGACAGCGGCAAAGGTGCTGCCTGGCTGGCTCTAGACCAGAGCTTCATCTGGGATTTTGAGAGAAGGGATTACACCAGGAATAGTTTCCTTCTTTGACCTCCTTCTGGCACAGACTGCTTTCCTTGCTAAGCAGATACTTTGTGTTGCTGCGGAGGCCCCAGGGTCTCTAGGTTCCCCCTGGGCACTGCCCTCCTCAGAACCACAACCCTGGTTTTTTCACTCCACAAGTGAGGAAACACCAGAAAAAAAAGACAAAATTCTCAGCCCATGTTACTGTTAAATCCTCTGTAGTTGCTAGAACTCATATGAATAAAGAAAGGGTCCTGCCCAGGTACCCTTTACCAATGAAGATAGTCTTTAGTCTCACCCAGCAGATGGGCTAACGGGAGCAAAGATGGCCTTAGTAAGAAAGAAGCAAACCTAAAGGTCATGTTACATAAACACAAACATGCCCTTTACCAAAAATTACAAAACACCAGCTAAAACTTTAACAGAGCTAAAATTTTTAACTTAAAACCACTGGGTTGGCAAATCCACAATGATTGACACGTGCAGCTCCCAGGTTCCTAGAGCACTCCAGCAGTGGACAGCAGCCATGCACTTCTCATCTGAGCTAACTGCTTGAGCTAGCTTTCTGGCCCACTGAACACATTAACAAAAAAATAAAAAGAGCTACCATAGTTGGAGCTGAAAAAAAGACACACACTTCCACAGACAAGCTTTTTGTGTGTGTGTGTGTGTGTGTGTGTGTAACCCTGCGTGTTTGTGCACATTGCTCCAAGCCCCTAGGTTTCGGAGGTTTGGGGGCTTGCAGAACCATCAGCAGCCCATGAAACAAATGGGGTTCCTGGCCCTTCAGCTTGACTCTGCAGTACAAATGGTTTGCATGCAGAAGTAGAGCTGGTTTCATTTAATTTCCCAGTGTCTGTCAGAGACTGCTGCCTTGATACCTGCGAATGGAGAGATTGCAGTGGTAATGCATAGTGGCTTATGTCCCACATAATAATAATGCTAGAGACTTGCATCCTGTGCCTGGAAATTACCATCACCCTTATCAACAGAATGATGAGAGATATTGAACGTTGATATCACTCCATGACTTCAACGGTGTCAGGATGATTTGCAGCAGCTGGGAACTGACCGTGTGTCCTCTAAGCTCTCTCAACCTCTACACATCCTTGGTCACTGGTGTTATTGGCAGCCTGAGAGGGGGACAGGGAATGGAAGGGGACTAGAGCACTGCTGGTGGGAATCATGCTAGGGATCTGACCAATCCTGGCAGAAGGCATGTTTGAAAAGGAAACCTCAGTTGCTTAGTGGGGGTGGGAACACCTCTACCCCATGCGTTATTTCGCCAGAGACAGTTTGGTGACAACTGTGAATCCCATGTACAAAATAGACTGGAACCTCCTCAAGACAGGGTGGGTCACTGCCATGGAAAGAAATCCGTTCCAGGAAGGAAACAAATGCCAGGTTTCCCTTGAAGCCCCTCTCAGTTTCTGGGGATGCCATGACCTGCTGATTAGGCCCATGGCTCCCAGATCCCCCGATTCAAAGCCTTTGGCTCAAGGGGGTCAGATGGAGGGAAGAGGGCTGGGTCATGCTATTTGTGGGCAATGGGTGAAGGGAAGGTGGCATGTGCACGTAATTTGTTGGCAGCAAGAGAATTACTAAAGCAATTAATCACAAGAATGAATCAATACTTGCACATGGCCATTCTGGGGAATGTGTGTCAGGCTATGCAGACGCCCTGTGGCAGGGTTATAGGTTTTCCGTTTCC